AGCCGTATTTAAAAATAGCACTGAAAGCATAAATGGATGTTCCAAAGAATGCCAATATTTTTTATGCGATTGCTCCAGAATTTTATTTTATTCTTTTTTTTGCTTAAATTTGCTTTTATTTCCATCGCTTTTCTGTATGATGAACGTATGAAATCTGAAGTGTAGGGTGATTTGAGCAACACTGCTCCGAAAAACATTCCTTCAGAAAACTTTCATAGTGCAGCATTGTTACAAATTTATTATATAATAACAGAGGTATTATGGTATATGGGGTCTTATGATACAAAGGTATTATGATATATGTATGTGCACATCTATACATGTATATCAGAAAACATATGCTTTTAAAAAACATAAAAAGATAGAAGAACAACAGAAATGTTTTGATCCACAAGTCTTATACATTTCTGTTTAGTGACAAAACTGAACCTCATCAGTACGAAGGCTGTGGTGTTAATAGAATGTATAAATAAAGAAAAATAAATTTTAAAGATAAATATATAAAACAGACATGGCCAACACGCGGTTACTATTACGCTAAAGAAAATGATGATTCGTTTTCACAGTGATACTGTTTCAGACTGCACATGCATGACGCAAAGGCTGAATTTTCTTCGATATGAAAGAAAAGTTCAATAATTTTGAAGCAAACTTACAGCTAGCTAACACAGAATGGCGACATGCAGCTCAAGATCGGCGGGATTCGCTGGCCTGCGACTGCTGTGCAAGCAACCTTGGTATTCTCGACCTCAAACACGTTGGTTGATTTCTTCGTAAAGTTACACTTGGAACCATTTCTTCTTGACTGAAGTTGGAATATCAGAATTAATAAGTTACTGCTTTTGCATTTTAAGTAGTTGCTGCTTTCGCCTTTCTTTTCACCATAAAGAAAGTACATGTATGATGTGCCAACGACATAACTTTATTATTACTGCTGTATTAAATTGCGCACACTGTATACAACAAGATGGGTAAAATACACAGGATGAATCGCTTCGTGCAGAGTTTGCTGCCTCAAATACATGCAATATAGCTTATAATGATGTGTCAGTTTTAAGACATTTCGAGAAGATAGTATCTGTACTCCATATATTATAAATCCAAGTGAGGCACACATATACTGAAGTTTCTATGCAACTGCAACCTTTATATTTCGCTCGCTCCTCAACTCTCCTCATCGCTGTAATTTCAAAACGCCTTTTAAGCGGATTCATATTTTGGTGCAAGTGGAATGGTGAAAATGAATTTTTGTTACTAATTTGCATTTGATGATGCCGTTGAAACGTATTTGTTTTGCCTCCCAAGAATGCAGGTCACGCAATCAAAAACCCAGGCTGGAACGCACCAGGAGGGCTCGTGCAATCATGCTTTTTCGTACCGGATTTGAATTACTCAGTTCATTAACTATATGAATGGCTGCTGCTTTGCACCTACCTTTTGCGTTCACTAACATAAATCATCATAAGTTTTGCAAAGTAAATGTACAATTTCCATTTAATAGTCGTTCTTTAAAAGTAACCTAGTTGTTCCGTGAGAAATGTTTTCGTCAAGACTTTTAAGTGCCCGTACGTAAGAAACACGCATGCCTCAAGGCTGAATTTGAAATACTTAAGTTGTACTTGGACAGGGAGAAAAAGTCAAAGAAAGAAATCAAAATCAAAAAAAATCGGTAAAGACGCATAGAGACACACGCAGAGACAACCTTTCGACAAACTGCATAAAAAATAAGAAATAATATGTAATTGATGCGGAACTGTTTTACTGATTCAGGAACTAAGGGAGAAAGTGTGATTAAGTGCATATCACTTTACCGCTCACTCTTCGCTCTCGGCCACCTTTCCATCTCCGCATCATTTACCATCCCGCACCATCATCACCACTTTATTTCGGTGCAAAAATTGAACTGTTTTTGCTTCTAATTTTTTTGCATAATTTATTTCAACCACGCATTCATCGTTACTGTGATGGTGGTTTTTAGATGTGACGAAACACTTCAGGCTTCCGGATCACAGATGACATATTGATCACCAATGAACCGATCAGATTAATGGCTTCGTTTTCAAAGCAAAATTCGCTGAATAATACCGCCAGCGCTTTAAAAAATGATAAATAACTCAGAAAATTTTTCCGTTTCTGTAGTTAATTTAGTATAAAGGCGTTCGTTTGTGAGTCAACTTTTCAAAACTGCCTATGGTGGTATTTATTTTTAAACACTAGTGTTACAATCCTGTCACGATAAACTTAGAAAAACGTTTTGCACATTCTCGGCAGATAACGTCAGCTGTTCCAAATCGATGATCCAAGCCTCTCCGCTTTCTATTTTTTTATCTGTTCATTTAATTTTTTATTGTGTTTTACTTTTTGTTGACTCACACACATTTGTTTCCCAAAAACCACGAAATTTTTGCACAGTTTTTGCTATTTGATGAGAACAGCCTAGAACAGTTTTGTCTAGTTTTTGTTCTTAATTACATTGCCCGATGCGTTATATTTCGGAATTTAAAAAAGTCAGCCTATCAAGACACCCAGGTCATCAGTAACGGTAACAGTTGTGTTCAGCAATTTTGCTCCAGCTCCTGCTCCGAATCAGCTTAGACCAAAGTAACAGATGCTTCCTTTGAATGTTACAGAAACGGCTCAAGGAAATCCACTTTGTACTGGTAATGCTCTTACGACCGATAAAATTGAACAACATTTAAAGGTAGATTCGACAACAGACACCTTCAACAGCGCTGACGTAGGAACTTATACTGATACTCTTTTGGAAGGTTTGCTGACAGAGCTCAAGTATAATCAACCTGCTCTTAACTTATGTGACGATAAAAGTGTTTATACTGGTTCAGTAACAGTAGTCGATAAGTCAGCAGCAGAAAGAACAGCGGCGATAAAAATTAGGTTTTTTGGCTTCATTATTATCCCTCATTCTATCAGACCAGAGGCTGATGCGACCAGCAGTACATTTAAACTCCAGGCGTCAACAGTGACAGATCCTTCCAATTCAATTTGCGAAATACCATCTCGAATTAAGCTGTGAAAAAATGGGCCATCTGGGATCTTCAAGTCACATTTTGCTTTTGATCGATGCAAGGATTGAAGCCAAGAAGAGTGTTATAACAGTTATTAACATTTCTGTGTAATAACTGCCGTTGACATTTCTCTATTTAGTAACATAAATATTAATGCCGTTTAAGCCATCTGGGATCTCCTAGTCTCGCTTTGTGGGTATCCCATGTTAGTGATTTTATACATACTATTAATAATTTATTAACGAAATTTCAACAATGAGCAAATCATTCAGCAGTGTTTAATTCCACGAAGGTGATGCTGCAGTTTCATTTTGTGTGGAAATGAAAATTCCAATAAAAGTGTTTATTTCAGAAAAAAACACTTACTACGCGGCTCGCTGCGCGGTGGCGTAAGCTGCAGATATTAATTCATGTAGCAAACTTTGCAGGCTTGTGCATGTGAGGTAGCTACAAGCTGCAGTATGTTAATTCTGATTGTAATGTAAGTTTTTTTTTGTTTTTTTCTCTCTTATCTTTTTTCCTTCTTCCTTCAATACCTTCTCAGTGCGATCGAAAACACGCTCGTCGTGTAAACGGTGGGAAGGAGGCTGCACTGATGATTCTTGCTCTTACCCGTACACTGTGCTTTGTCTGCGTTTTTAGCTGAAGGATGAAATACAGACTGCTTTTCAATATTTCCTCTTTATACTTGATATTTGGATTGATTGTTTATCTCCGATTCTAATACTGCGGCACTACCAACTAACTACTTAGTTTCCATAAGTGAGGGTCTGAAGGTTTTTTTTGCTGCAGCAGAAAAATGTAGAAGAAATGCATCTCGTTTAGGTGACAGAATTGTATCCTACCAGTGCAATGTTTCAGCTACAGTGAAGCAAGAAATTAGCCTGAAACTATGAAGAGTTAAACATTTATCAGTATAACAACAGTTTATGGAGAGTCTTAGATCTCTTCCTTCTCTTGCTAAGAATCTGTATTAAATCAGCTCTAGGCTAATCCTAACAGGATGTGAAGATCTTTTTAAAAACCATATTTAAGGGGGAGAAATGAAAGTCAAGACCACCAGCAGGCTGACCATCAGTCGACGCAAACTGGAAAAGTTGCTAACTGCATAGATTGAGCGCTATTTTATGAATCGTAGCCGTTCAAAGTAAAGTATCAAAGAATAAAGCATGAAGATTTTTACTGGGCTAAGTGAACGTGCTCAGCAAATACTTGCGGCATCTGTGCTCCACTAAATTTAGTGCTAAACTTTTTACGACAGTCGACGTGCTAGCGTTACCACTTACGACTTATAAGTCGTGATGGTAACGCTAGCACGCCAACTGTTGATTTTTCTAAATTTATGAGCTTTTCGACCGCATTGCTATTTGAAAGTTGAAAGTTTACGGTTTCGTTTCAAACGAAGCTTTTCTTCTTTTAAGGAAATTGCAAAAAGAAGATCCTTGGGAGTTTTACAGATTTTGGTTTTCAAGGATGCCGCATCATAAAGCAACATCCTTATTTTTCCTGTACATTTCATTTCATTCTTTCCGAAATATAAACATTTGCATTTAAAAGTGTTCATTCCAAAAATCAATTTTTGCAGATTGTTTTCATTGCAAAGTACTGTTACTGGAGTTGTTATCGGTGGATTTAACAATTTAGCAGTTGGAAACTACGTATGTTACTTTTTAGATTTAGATAAGTAGGATTTTTCTTTTTCTTTTTCATAATACGGAGAAAGCGTTGAGCAGTTTCGTAGAGAAAATGACGCCAAAATTTGTCGAAAATGCAATTATAAAATTACTTTAAATCTTGAACTACTTTAACAGCCGTTGTATTGATGAGATCTAGCTGTAGCGCTGAATTTACGGCATGTTGAGCACCGTAGACAAAACGTCTTAGCTTCAGTTAAACTACTATAGGTTTCAGTTTTCGATATTTCCAACTTGCTTCACTATTTTTCAACGTTTGCGCGTGAATAGTGTTAAAAATTTTACGTGAGACAAAGAAATTTTATCAAATATCAAATAGATATTAAAATAGTCTCACCTCCGTGTGCATATTTGGATCCAGTATTGTAATACAAGAAAAAAAAACGCTACAAACTGGAAATTTTTGTGGTTTAATTCGCCAAGCACTGGTGATTGATTAGGCTTCGGATCTAATTCCGGGAAAATGTTGCTCGTGTTTGTGCCTGGGTATCTGGCGTTCATCTGTCGTGATGACGCTACTGTTGGGTTGCAAAAACTTGGAAGTTGAAATTTCGAGCATCAACGTCGGCAATAGATGGATCAACTTCACGCCTTTTATACTTCCGCACAAGGACCATCGAGGCTTTGGCCTCACGGAGCTGGCATTAATGATCATCTCCATTAATAATATCGATCATAATATCTCAGACTTTACCGGCCGCTGCGTTACATCGGATAACAATTCGATGATATTTTCAAAATTCATCGTTCCGTGTTGGGTCCCGTAAGCCAACAAGTCTTTATTCAGTCGAAAAAACACAGTAATGCCAGACTCTCCAAATTCCTCAGCAGTTTGATGCAGCAGTCGATACAAGCACAAAGCACCAAAATACAAAACACGGCTGCTCTCGGCTGCACTGCATTTACTGTGAGGTCCTCCCTGGTGATAATTCCTGTGTGGCGTTTAGTACATCACTGTCGACACAGATGTCCCTGATGCAGTTCTGATATCTCACTGGTCGATTCTTCCCTACACAGCCAGATTATTATGGCAGCTGCTTGCCTGCTCAACCATATCGCGTCACATCGATCACAAAAATGAATTGAACTCATACACGCTTTCAAGCGATGATGCAGTGCAAGTCCGCAGAAATTTAACGTGAAAAAGCGTAATGGTGTCGGACCTTTAATGTGTGTTAATCTATTTCTTCAATGATAATTTTAGGCAGTGAACGGTATTGGAAATTATGCGGTTTTTTCGTATCCAGCTGGACGACGTTATGTGTGGTGGCCGGCCTGGTTTCGTCAAGGAATGGCACCAAGATACACCGCTGGCACGTACTATTATCAGTGGGTTTATCCGACGGGTCAACAAGTAACTGACCAGCGGCTGGTCAACGTTAATGTTCCATATTAATGCATATCGCTTGCTAAGATTGATCGTCAGCTAAATTGATTTTAAATTGTATATGAAATTTTGCACTGTACTTGTTAAATACTTAGTCTACCTCAAATCCAAACTTTTGGCCAGCTTTTTTCCAAAACAGGCATATAACAAATTTTCGTTTTCTTAGCAGCATTTTCGTTGACCTTACTGGTTGCTGAAAATCCCACCACATTTCATATTTTCTTGTGCCATCCATGGCTTACTGAGAAAACCAAGGATTGCGCGGGCTATCAGTGTGGGTATCCTATGTTAGTGATGTTAATGGAACGCAGCTATGCCATCCGAATTGAAGACCTTTTATGTAGTGGCTACTCTCAATAACGCGGGCACCACTAGCGAACATTAAGGAATAACAGATAGGAATAAAGTACAGTAGATGTGGATCTTCTATGTGGTTCTAGAAACCTAAGTTCCCTTACTGTGTTTTTTAACTCCTTTTGAGAGCTGGGAACGACCAGAAATAGCAAACGTGGTAGCAGACAGACTTGATAATTATTCTTTGCCAACAGCAAATTTTCTTCGACAGAATTGCCTAAGACTTGATAATTTGCTCTTGCGAAAGCTGTTTAGAAGAAAGCTGATGACACTTTCGATTCTCTAGCATGTCCTGTATCAGCTAACTATCGAAATGTGTGGATGAATCAAGAAAGATTGGCTTGCAATGACTGAGCTGAAACCCTATCCTCCGCCTGGAAGTAACGATACTTATCATAACAGGAGGCCCGTAAAAAAATGCGATATATTTAACAAATCTGATTATTAAAATTTTTACGAATTGGTTAAAGAAGTGAATGTTTGGCTGATTACTTTCCTTAACATGTAGGTTTATATATAACATATAATAAAGACGATAAAGGATTCTGTTATGAGAAAAGGAATGAACCGCATGGTCCCTGGATAGAAGATACAGAACAAGCGGTGAAATAAAAATCCAGGACATTTTAAATTATTCTCCGAAAATTCTGTTTTAAAATGCACCGGTTAAAGAATCTGCAATGAAAGTTGTAGTTTTGAAAGCATTTAAAACTGACGTAAAGGAAAAAAGCGAAATGAAAACTGGTTTTGGAGAATTTCGCAGAAAAGCAAAATACAGTGTATGGCACACGTGAGTGTTCTGTGTTCTGGTCAAACTCCAATTATTTCTTTTGCTTCATCCAGAGTTCATAATTAGATGCAGAGCGGTAGTCCGATCTGAATTGTCTTTTTTTTTGTTATTGTAAAAGTGCAGACTGACGCTTCATCTGTAATAGCTAGCTTGGATGAAGCTTTTTTCTGTGAATGATGATAGGATTTTGTCAGGATGGAGCATCTGCAAAAGACAATACATGTAGTGCACCGATCTTATGAAATACCTGACACAGGTGGGCACCTTGTTCCGTACAGCATCTCAAATATAGCTTATGGATTTCCTTAAAATCTGTAAATTAAGTTTTAGTACATGTACGATACCTGTAAAGTACGCGTATGCTGAAGTTTCTATGTTTCTAGGATAAATGAGTGAGCAAAGTGAAAGTACTCCTACAGTGTTGCAAATGTTCTTGGAAAAAATGAATGATGCTTCGGGATTCTTACAAACAGATACATATTATCACTGATCCGGGAAGGGATGAAAACAGCCATGTCCCTTATAAAGCTGACATTAAAGCAAAGCGTTGCTGCAGTTTATAGGAGTGATTATATGCATTGTGAACAATAACTGTATCGAATAATTTTCTCGACCACCTTCATGCTGCAGTGAATCCAACTGAATGCTCGCCTGATCGTCACGCACCGCTACGTCTACCGGATGGTTTCTTGTTGCTGTTTTTGACTCTATCCGGGTTGGCGCCTTGAAATCAATCAATTATCACGTTTTAGCATCAAGAAACAGTCCGGTTTTTTTGACAGACTTACCTGGATTGCCAGTGGGAATCATGTTGTGAAGATCTTCTTCAGCTGTGATAAATATTGCTTCAGGAAATTCGGGGTATCCCCTGTTTTTGTTTTATTTTCACGAGGATTAAGGTAAGATTGGCTGTGAAATAGGAATGATTTCTTCGACCTCTCTTACAAATATGTCATCCCGCCCGAGAGCTGCGCTTATAAAAACACCATTCCGGTCAAACATTTGCAGAGAATTTCCTTACCTTCAGTTTAAAATTAGAAATAAACATTTGCCATGCACTTCGGTGAGCCGTTAAAATTACTGCTAAATTCGCTGCTCAGCCTCATAAGCACTTGATGTAGTAATAGATACTACCGAGAAAGATAGAAAGCAAAAGTGAGGAAAGGTAAGGTAAGTATCCCTTTTTGGAGGTATTTATTAATAGTTCTGCAGTAAATATGGCGAACAAAATTGGTGTCTTAGTCTAGCGCGATATTTTTAAATCGCATGAATGCAAACTGAAATTATTTGGATGAGAGACTTGCAAACTGAAATAGAAATTGCCAAGTGCATCAGTGATGATGAAACAACAGCTGACTAAAGTAGGGAATAATCATAAACATACGGTGATGCCATGATTATTCCAAAACGAAAACAAATCTGTTATCCAAATATGAAAGGAACTTTTGAAGTTAGAATGCATAACCTTTGGCAGCTTTAACTCTGGCTACGGGACGCTCGAACGTTTCTTCGATGAACTTGGCATCGGACATCTGAATGCCAGCGAAGAGAGGTACAAAGACTAACAGGATCAAGTTCCAAAGGGCGTTGCAGCGCATCTTTCACACTAAAAAAACTTAGTCAAAAACGTACCGGCTGCCGGTACGAGGATGCGTTTTTTGCACAGTTCCCCCATAGATTTTTTCCGCCAGTGGCACGCTCTTCCCGACAGATGCTTCTAGCTAAAAGAACTGTGACTGGCCACCATGACTGTTAGAAATTGTTACAGTGACTCCCAATCCAAGCCCAAAAAATTCAGCGCTCTGGATGCATCGATTGCGGAGTTATGCCAAATTTCACGTGTTCGTACGCGAGTAGCAGCGTGAGTGTTTTCTTCGCTTGCGGCTACTTAAAAACGGCCCTAGGTAGTGCTCGAAAAGTTTCAGTACCCAAGCTGCTGTGGTTGCAGAGTTACGTCAAATTTCACGTGTTCGTACGTGAGTGGCAACGTGAGTGCTTTCTTCGTTTGCGTTTGGTCAGGCACGGTCCTGGGTAGCCCTCAGAAAGTTTCAACATTTCAGCTGCTCTGATTGCAAAGTTACGTCAAATTTCACGTTTGTACACGTGAAACGTACGTGAAACATGAAAGTGATGTGTAAGTCGTTTTTGTGTGCAACTGGTGAAAGGGCATCATCGGTTATGCTCAGAAAGCTCAGGGCCTCTGGCTGGTTCAATTCTA